GACGACCACCCGAATCTGACGAAAACTAACAAAAATTACATTCAGTTTGAAAGTCAACAGATGGGCGGAGCGAGCCATGACGCCACGGCTCGCTCCGCCCATTTGACATCCTCAGCTGTCAAATGCTACATATTGCATTCATATATATCAAATGCTTCTATGGTAAAAGTACAGAGGCCATAGAGTAGTGGTTAGAGGTACAGGCTTGCAATTGATTGCCATTGTGAAGTTCGCTGGTTCAAGTCCAGCCATGGGAGAGTAAAGTTTTTTGTTTTTTTTCATAAACGAATTTCGGCAGGACTACCGCTAACAAATTTCAGCCGAAACTAATTTAATTTCGGACCCGAAAAATGAAACTAAACTAAAGGAATTTTTTTTTTTCAAAACGAAACTAAACTAAACAAATTTTTTGCTGGTGCACATGTCTAGTCAGCAATACTGACAGCTACAGCTTCCCAATCCCCCCGACCAGCCATCACCCATAGCATCCCCCAGCCTCACCTACTTCCTGCAGCACCTCTCTCCTGAGTCCTTGGCGGCCAGTGGAGAGGGTCCTCACAATGACCCAAATAGCAGGATGTGGTTGCCTGATGGTGTCTGCAGTCTGTTCAGGCTCCACCAGGCTAAACACTTCTTACAGTGACAGGCATTTACAGAGCCGCCTGTCCCATCCCCGCACAGCCGCCGCTGGGACATACAGCTGTCACAGGGTCAGGGGAGGACTGCACTCCTTACAGCGATTAGACCTGGATAAATGATTGTGGTGCTCATAGTTATTGCACGGATGGTGTCATGTATTCCAAAATCGTAGAAGATGGAGATCACCAGCACTCATTTGTCATATGACATGCATTAAGACATGCCTAATGCATTTTACATACTACACATAGCATGGATGTATGCATAGCAAGGTGATATGACAGGTAGTCTGCTTTTCTTGCATACATACTAAAGGATTATATGATGGATTGTACATAATATGTTACATTTTATCACAATATGACATTTGTGATCTTTATATCCGTCGTTGTACACAGTCATCTACCTTGTCCTTCCTTTATATACTGTGGTTTTGCCCTACTGTTCTTCTCTGCTATTAATCTCTCCTTGACATTCGAAGCCCTTTCACCTCTCTCTGCCCCCCTCCCCCCCTTCTCTCCTTTCAGTTCTTCTCCTGCTGCCCGGCTTATCTAAGTTTGTTTGTATTGTTCCTCGTACAAGGAGCCGTCTCCCCCTTCTCCTTACACGGAACACAGAGCTGACTGTCTCCTAGTAAAAAAAACAACCAGCGCTGGTGATCTCCATCTTCCCCCATGTATGCACACACCTTCCATCCAAGCACTGATCTGATACAACACACCGATCCAGCCATGTGGGTACAGGACAGATCCAGGGACCTAATCATGCAGCGCGCCAGACAATCCAAGAGCCGAACTGGGGGTGCAGCAGCCAATCCAAGAGCAGCTGAAGACAGGCCCTGCCCAGAAGGCACTGTCATACTTTCAGGCTGTGCTGTGTTAAAGTGGCAGCGGCAGGGACTGGTGGGCCCGGGCAGGAAACATGCTGCGCCTGCGTGCAGGCTGGAACACGACGAAAGGGAAAGACTTTACTGCCGTTCAGTGTAAAAAACCGGCACAGTACTTGTAGTGTGCCGATTTTTTACACTGACTCGCAGTAAAGTCTGTGACAGTGACAGCTGTATGTCCCGGCCGCGGGTGGGAGAGGCTCTATCTCTGGGAGGGGGGGGGGGGCAATGCCCCCCTTCCCCCCCCCCCCCTGGATCCGCCACTGTGTATGTGTGTCGAGACAACAGCTCACAGAGCTAAGCCCCTCCCAAAGTAGATTAGATTGAAATGCCAGCTTACAGTGGGTTTTTGATTACAGGAGTACATTGCTCTCCTGTATCATTAGGAAACTAAAAATGCAAAAAACGTGTACCCCATAGTTCTCCTTTAAGGATCACCATGGATCAATAAAATGTGGGGCTCTGTGATTCTCCAAGCATCATTTAGTATTAATTGTGGATAAATGTATTCCTTTAAAGCAAAAGTAATTATTTAAGAAAGTCTCTCTCACAGTTTATAAGCAATCTAAGTATTGTTACCTGAAACATATTTAGGAAGTTATGCTAAAGTCATAGTGAACTGATCAACATCAAAATGCTCTACAGATAAGAAAATGTCTTATCAAATGTGTACAACTGTATTTAAAATGCAATTAAGTCCCTAAAAAAATTGCACATAAAGATAATCTAAAAAAGCAAGAACCTACATACAATAGGTTAGTAACCCAAACAAAATTACATAAAATGTCAGTTCTAAAACATTCACATAAATTAAATGAAGCCTCATACATTTGTAAACATTACAAATTCTTCCAATAGAGACATTTCTCCTCACTTACTGTCACAGTGACAATGTTTTGAGTCAGGAAGTGAGTGAAATCTGTAAATGGACCTATACAGCAGTTGACACGTTTGTTCTAACCTTCCGCTACACTACTAAAAATACAATTTTTGTTTGTCTGTCACCTTGACAGGGAAATCTCTATAACAGAGCACAGATAGTAGAAAAACCAGACATGACTTCTGATCCTTCCACATGCTATCCATAAGTTAAAAAAAAGAAAGTTATTGTTGGACATACAGTTGATAGTTTCTATATCATGTTCCTCCTCAAGACTCTGAAGCATATGGTTTGATCTACAAGCATATCTTCATTTTTTCTTATGCAATGGTACATGCATACACATGCAAAGGTGTGAATGGGCTCTTAATGTCATGACTGAAAACCTTAGAAGGGCCAGATTTTTGAACATCAGAATAAATGAAAGGGAAAAAAATGACAGGTAAAAAAAAAATGAGCAATCAGATTGTGAAAGACTCATATTCACCCTCTACTTGCTCAGATTCACGTTGGAAACCATGGGATGAACTGTATTCTCAGTGGTTCATTATATTTTATTGAAAAAAGGTGTATTTTCAGTGGTTTTACTACAATTACTCCTTGATTTACAGTTGAACACTAGTCAAATGTTAGCTTTGTAAAGCATTAGATCCTTTGTCAGATTATTGTTGGTGTCCCCACTGGGAAGATTTCTCCACACTTTTTGTATGGTCACTGGAACAGAAGGTAAAGTAAAATCTCTCTAATGGGAACGCAGACGAGAGTGTAATCAAGTTTTTTTAGCATAAGGATGAAGGGCCAGAGCTTCTGTTGGAATTTTATTGTGGTGTACATTCCCACTGGGGAGATTCTGCTCCTTTCTGTGTGAGCAGAGAGCCACAAAAAAGTATTTTATTTCCTGGACTGCATATTACCTGATTACTCACTGCAAGGTAAGAAAATAACAGTGTTAATTGATTTATTAACTAATAAAATATTCTGTTTTCAGACAGACAAGTTATTCTTTTAAAAGTGCATTTTACTTTCCATATATTTGCACTGTAGAACAAATGGAAGTAAAAAGGGAAACGGTGATCCATGATCCATGTGGAAAAGGGTGCAAATAACTACGAGATAATATATCCCAATAGTCACTGCAAAAGAGTAAGACATATACAAATAAGACAGTAACATTATAGTATTAGTAAAATGTGGATACAGGGATGACAACACATACAATTTGTAAACTTCCTAGGCTTGTCAATATATAATATGTAAACAAATAAAAACTATAGAGTACTGTGATCTTGGTTCATCTGGAATTAGTAATTAAATACATGCGGCTGCATCTGCAATACACAAAGTTGATCTTGTTGTACAGCAGTGACATCTAGTGTACATCTCAGCAAATGTAAATGTCGACAGTATTTTGTTCTCCCCTTTTTATAATAAAATACGGTGTATTATTTTTCTTTTTTAAATTTCGTTTATTGTGTGATAGAATCACAAACAGACTTTATAATACTTTTATTCAGTAAGCTTAAAAGTGATGTACATTATACACACATTAACAGTACATACACATATTTGCACTTCAAAGACATTCATTAGGCTTACACAGGGAAAGAAAAAACGTAAAATCATTCTAAACAAACAACTAATGAATGTGTGGCTGCACCTTGCTGCAAGGTGGTTTCCTGCACCGTTTGTATCTACTGCAGTGATAATGATTTGTCATAGTACTATCCTTGCCTAACATAAGATTGTGAGAGAGAGAGAGAGAGAGAGAGAGAGAGAGAGAGAGAGAGAGAGAAATGAAAGAGTGAGCATGAGAGAGAGCTGTCTGCAACATCAACTATGGTGTTATGTAGTCCTAATTTTTGATTATTCAGATTTTTAGATGGTAAAGTGCTTGACATCAATAAAGAGTTCCAGGACTACATTGGCCTTGGAGGGCGCATATTGGAGATTCGAACCCCAGATGTCGTAGCCAATGTGAAGAAGCAGGCTCAAGCTGTAGGCTACACTGAAGGAGCTTTGCTAGCACTGGCCATTATTATCATCCTCTGTTGTATACCAGCTATTTTAATTGTAATGGTCAGCTACAGACAGTAAGTAAATTGCTTTCTTTATGCAAGAATGATAAACCAACCCAGTTCTCTCAAGCACTAGCACAACTTTTTGTTGGTTCATAATATTCCAAAGACTGAGTAATACTTTATTCACTTTTAATGCTTAAGATGTTGTTAGTAATCAAAAGTTGCCTATTTACAATCAGCAAATCCATTTCTATAATAATATGGCAGCAGTTATGTTGGTTAGCATACATTTATGCAATCAAATCTGGATTGTCTTACTGTGTGCATAAAATACTAAGTTCTGCCATCTATGGTGATTTGTATGAACCCTAACTACATCAAAGGACATTTGCATTATGACTCTAGCCATATTTCAAATGAGGACTTCTGACTGAGGTCTCTTTAAAGAGCACATCTAATGATTCTGGGTTAATTTTGCTTTACATTTCTTCTTAAAGTTTATATTTTTGAAGAATGTTTTATAATGGTTTTACGGTTTGTATAACATGTTTTTGTCACAAAAAAATTAATGCAGGGTACACCAAGAGTGGATCCTAAGAGCACTAGGAGTCTATCACAGAATATAGCAAAAGCTGTCTACAGTCATACTTTATCTCTCTGACTGAAAGTTTAACAGGCATAAAAAGAGGGGAGAATGGGGTATGAGTCACTGCTCTGGCTCATTGAGTTGTGTATGTGAACTTGTGCTTGAGCTAAGTAAAAAAAAAAAGAATTTTCAGCAAAGCAGATAAGGGATAGCCTGGAAAACGTGTGAAGAAGCAAACTCTACCTGCTGGCTGAAAAGGAGAATACACAATATTAAATTTGATTATGGATATCTTAATTGACTAATTGACTTAATTGTGGTTCTCAGTAATCCTCAGTGAATTACATTTCTAACTTTATTGATTATTAGGATTCTATAAATGCAGTTTAATTCCATGTTGTTCATTTGTACATGCCTGAAATTAGTGGCAGAGCATGGCGCTTTTAGAAATCAGCTAGTATGCAGGGATAAAAGTAGCACTTTTGAAAAGTGATAACTTTGTAAACCCCTTTGCACTTGTCAAAGAAGCAGATTGTGAAAATACATTTGGAATCCATTTCCAAGACACATCTTTTTGTAGTCAATCAAGAGTGTAATTGTGTTTTACCATTATGCAAGGCCCCCTCAATTTACTGCAATTAGGTTGAGCCACAAAACCTTTGCTTATTCTAAAAGAGGAGAAAAAATAGTTTTCTTTTTGCTTAATAACCGACTTTTCAAGTATAATCCAAACAATATCTTTTCCTGAATGTCATTTCTTGCTACAATGAAGTATGCCAAAATACTGAAAAGCTGCTAAAGATATCACATTTTGCAAATTTGAAAAGCTTTTTTATGTTGTCATTAATATCTGTGTGACTTTGATGAGCATTCTAATATATTTGTTTTCTTTTCCGATGTGCCTGTCCCTGTGGAACAGGTTTAAAGAGTAAGTATGTTCAGTTATTACTACATCACACCTCCTACATGTAAAAGACATGCAAAAATTATTACATATGTGGAAAACACCATGAGAAGAATAAATGCAGAAATTAGTGAAATTAATCCCATAGAATAGGACATATTTGCTGCAATGTCTCTTGTCAGGTTTGGAAAATAGTAGTAGTAGTAGTAGTAGTAGTAGTAGTAGTAGTAGTACATGTCGCATGACTTTAAAAAAGTTAAAAAAAAAATTAGGATGGAACTCATAACTGTTTGTAAAATGTTATATTGATATATATATATAATGTCAAAAAAGACAAAAACGCAGTATTGCAGTGTGCAATGATACCTTTCTTATTGGACTAACAAAATATAATAAAAAAATATATAAAAGACAAGCTTTCGAGAGTGAACCTCTCTTCTTCAGGTCATTCAGATTGCTTCCGACCTGAAGAAGAGAGGTTCACTCTCAAAAGCTTGTCTTTTATATATTTTGTTAGTCCAATAAGAAAGGTATCATTGCACACTGCAATACTGCGTTTTTGTCTTTTTTGACATCTTGTCTACTGGACTAATACGGCTTACCCATTTATATTGCACTATATATATATATATGTACACACACAGTATATGAATCCTCTCATAAGTTATCTTATTGAATGTCACTATGAAGATCTATCTATGACCTGCATAATTTATTAAGCCTGTGGTGATTTTTGGTATTATCAATTTGATTGTAGAGATGTTATTCAAACACATCAGGCCTTATGTATAAAAGTGTCTGACTGTAGAACAGTCTTGTATTTGCAGCAACCATCAGTGGCTCTCTTACATGTTACATCTTGTACTTTAACAATAGAAGAAAGTAACTGATTGGTTGCTGGGAAGGAATTGTTTTTTATTTTGCTAGAAAGCTGCTGCAGATGTCTTTTTACCAGTCAGATGCTGCTGGACACATTGCTGATATCTTGTTTTTATTGGAAAAAGGTACATAGCTACAGAACAGGAAACTACATCATAATCATAACCATGTAGCTCCGCTAGAAAGAACATTACATTAGCTCAAGGATACAAACACCTAGTGGCAGAATTACTGAACACAGTATAATATATGAGAATGGTTTTTCTTTAAACTTTGTCTTTGGAAGTTATTTTTTTATAGGTAATGATGTCGGACATTAATGTGCTTGGTTCTGGCATTGATCTTTTTACTCTTTGCAAGCTTTAGCCTCCATTCACATATAGCGTTTGCATTTCCCGTGTGGTTTTGCCATGCAAAAGACCTTTGCAACTGCATGGATTCCGCTCATTTGCAGCCATTACTATAGCCGCGAATGTGCGGAATCCGCCCCTGGAATTGCGCTTGGAATAGTCTGAACAATCCAGTTAAATGCACGTTTTTTTAATGTCTAGAGTAGTTCAGCATGTATTTGTACTGCCAAATATGCATGAACAACTGCTCCTGTGGGAATGGAGCCTTCTACATCAATGATTGTCCCTATATAAAACTACTGGCTGAGACACTGGCTCTCCAAGATCTTCAAGTAGTTGCTGCAAACATATAACTTCTTGATGAGCATAAGCTGCCAAGTTGTATTCGGCTTCTGTAAATGATAATGTCAGTAATATTTGCTTTTTGCAAGTAACCACTCGTAGATTTGCGAGTATTGGCATCACCTACCCAATCTCCACATAGTTCACATATCCTATTAGTATTTGGCCACCATTTGCAGGTAACCCCAGGTTTATGTCTTGATTCTGTTTTAGGTACTGCATGACTCAGTAGCATAGAATTCCAGGACCTTTGCCAAGGTTTGCTTACACATCTGCAGAGAAGAGACATGGGAGTTCCAATATCTTGTCATTTAGTGGTTGCAGTGTATAAAAGTGCCCCCAGTGATTGTCTGTACCATCCATTGTTAGACTTCTTCTACTCTTAACTTTAGGTAAACTGTTTCAAACTGGTGTGCTTAAACTTTTGCATTCTGGCATGCAAAACTGTTTAATGATCATCTCAATTTTAGAACTTTTGCTTAGCAGAAATCTTCCTCATGCTTTATTGGAATACTTAGGTAGTAGGACACATCTCCTAAGTCCTTAGTTTAAAGTGTTTGTCAAATGCTGTATTAGTTTTGTAATTTCCTCATCCTCTTTGTGAGCAATAATCAAATTATCAACATACAGCACAAGATGTGTCCACTCTCCTTCTGTAGATTTAGAGTATATACATGGATCAGTGCTACCTTAACACTTGATCCAACAATATTTTATTCATCTTTTAATTCCATGCTCTAACTGACTGTTTAATTTGACCTAAGATCTATGTAACTTACAAACAAGATTTACAATTCCTTTGTTTTTATGTCCAGATATTTCACAATCATATTCCATTGGGCCACTATAGTCAATAAAGTTCTAAAAGTACTTTGTTTTGCAAATGGAGCAAAAGTGACATTCTAGTCTTCACCATACTTTTGTGATTATGTGACGAGTCTTGCTCTGTATCTATGGATGTTACCTTTAATGTCATATTTGGCTTTAAAAATACATTTGCATCCAATTGCATGTTTGCCTTGAGATAGTTCTTTAATTTCCCAAGCTTGATGCTGTTTGAGAGATATTATGATGTTTTGTGAATGGAGAAGGTGTAGAGCGAGCAACCCACTATTATCACTATACTAGAGCTGGAACTATGAGTGATGGAAAGTCAGTACTTATAGTACTGTGTAGGATTAATTATAGTAATAGTTTTACCTTTTGCAGCAGCATCCAAACATGGGATACCCATGTCACCTTTTTTTCTGTGAAGTTCAGCTTTAACTTAAGCATACTACCACCTAGTGGCAGAAACACTCATCAGAATCTGATATATGAGAATGGTTGTTGCATAAATAACATGCCAACAGTTCTTCAGACAGACACTTCGTACATGAAGCCTAGTATGCAAGGTTATTCAAGGTTGGTTGTAAAAATGTATAAAAATGTTTGCTGTATATTTCTCAGAACTATACTACAGATTTACCCTTCAGGTCATTTGCCATAGTTAAACACTTTTGTCCCCTACACACACAGTATGTCCTATTGGGTTTCATTTGTTTGCATTAAAGAGTAATTTCACTTTTGTTGAAAAAAAAACCAAACAATCCCCTCTCGGTGATCAATGTTCATTGGAAGAATTTTAACTAACTTTGTTTTGGTTTCCAACCTGTTTCTTTTCTGTTTGTTTCACCATGTCCTTTCCAAATTGATCTCTAAATGGGAGGGTTTGGGTTCGTTGTAGTCACCTGGTGGGTTTCCTGTGTTGTAATAGAGAAAGGTGCAATGTCTGCATCTCTTGAGTACTAATTAACTCTTCGGGAATGTCTCACCCAAAAAACTATTGCAAGAAATGCCTAAAATTGTATGTGTATCTTAGTGCAGACTTCTGGGAAAATCAGTCAGCCAATCACAGAAGCATCAAGTGACATCTCTGGAGGAGTTCTGTACACCAAGCGTGTACACAATACCTCTAGGTTGCTATATTTCATGGAATTTGTTTGACAGATTTAGAACATTACAGTGGCTATAGTTTCAAAGGAAAGGTAATTTAAAAAAACATTAAATTAAAAAATAGCTTGTGCAGCATTATATGTGCAATATAATTTTTTACATTTTATTTGTTGAAGTGGAGTTACCCTATAATGTTACTAAAAAGTTATCAACCTGCAAAGGGGTAATGGCTTACTGTTAGCGTATTGGAAGAGTGAATTTGTGGGTGGATATACCACAGACAAAATATGGTCTCCATGCTAGTGAAAAACTATGCATTCATTGGAGGAGGAGGAACCATTAAGTGCTGTGGGGGTGACACGTCAGATGAACACTCTCAGAAGTGACAGCTTTATTACCGGTTCAGTCAGTGATTCTACTTGATTGAGCAGCACGTATGTTTTCACTTTCTTTATAAGGGTAGGGTTTATTTGGACTTTCTTATTGCTGGCAGTGTTCCTTCAAGATTCAGAGAATGAGGACTGTCCAATAAAAAGGATTGTTAGATGTGATCTCAGTACAGTTATGGTTTAGCAATAATAATTGCTACAGAGCGCCTTTTACAATAAATGTATATATGTTATTCCAGGTGATTCCAGGTGATTTTGTTCAGTCATCTGCTTGGTATTAGGAGGTCAGAGGTAATCCTGACTTTCTAATGCCACAAAAAAAGGGCATTTTGGAACACATGTATAATGAATTCTTTAAGGATTATTCACAAGAAAAGATATAAGTGAAATGCCTACAGTCCTTTTTTCCTGGGATGTTCGCTATATGGGATCAGGCAGGTTAGCTCTAATTGACCTATATCCTTTTGCTGTAATCCTTCCACCTGAGAACCTTTTAACTGAACATCCCATTTTACTTGACTGACACTGACTATACAAGGAGAATAAAGCAGTAAAGCACTAGAGGAGAAATGAATAACACTATTAAGACACCAATTCCATTAAGATATCTAACTCAGGATAGAAAGACCTTGATATTTACTATCAGTGAATATCTTTAAATGAAACGTGCTCATTTTTTTATTTGAGTCCGTCTGGAGACGGCAACCCGCAGATGCTGCAGTGCCGTCCGTCTGTTTTTCTACTACGGGCGGACGGCAAGAGGTTAAGGCTGTAACACATCCTATGATGTTTCAAAAACATACAAATTGGATTTTGGTAATTAAACATGGAGAAATAGGTTTGTATCACTGAGGCTCAATAAAAAGTCTAATAGACCTACTAGTCAGACACAGGAATACAAAAACATTTAAAATATTAACTGATTTTACCCTACATTCAATTTTCAATTATGTTGTAATACACATTTACTACAGTGTAAGTCTAAAAGAGTTCCTCGATAAGAATAACAATTATTAGATGTTTAAGAAACCCTGTCTGCCCTCTAAGTCTTTCTTTTTACTTACAAAAAGGAGGCAAGCTGAGTGTGCAAAGACAGCAAGGATCCAGATGGCATTGCCAGCAGGCAAATCATCAGCCCCTGCTGCCAATAATCTGTATGAAGAGCTGGGTGACAGCACTATGTAAGTACTGAATATAAATTGTTTTCTAAAGAATTGCATGAATCATTGCAATAGTGGGATCTGTTTTCTGTCTATTATTGCAAAAGCAGTTTGAAATTTATCTCGGTGCAATGATGTGCAACATTGTACAGTCCTTTGCTCGAATGTGTTGGTTACATATGTAAGTAAGCGTTTAATACTATAGTATACAATATTTGTTTCTTCTACAATAACGTATTTGAAGAAATATCTTTAAATTGTCTAAACAGTTTCTCAGCTGCTAAATTATATAGAAGACAAATGATGAATTGGTTTTAGTTTTTTTCCCATGGCAAGGTTTCATAAGCTAGTTTCAAATGCTCTAGGCTGTATAGTTTAATGCATACAAATAGTATATTTTTAATGCTGATGTATTGCTTTAATCCTAGGATGTACTGAGTCATTGCATAATCCTGATTTGCTTTCTTATGATGTGTAACCACATTTTTCCAGTAAATTTAGAAAAGCCTAACAAAAAGAGGGGTTAATTAATCAATGACTGATGATTTTTATTCAATTAACTGAGAAACAGTGATGCAGAAGAAGTGTATACAAGTATATTTGTGATAATAATATTTTATAAGTGAGCAAATCTAAAACACCTCATAGACATGACATACCAGTGGCCTGATCATTGAGACTGGGCAACGATCTTATGTGGATAGCCAAGCACCAGAAGATATTTCTCAATAAGAACTTCATTGTACAGGTTAAAAAACTACCGTATTTAACAAAAAATGTTTTTCATGAAATAAACTGGTAACATCTGGCTTGTTTCTCTCTTTTTTTGTGCATAAGCAAAAACTTGCAAAGTTTGCAGAGCTGACCTCACATGTTTATGTTACTTTCTGTAGCATTTAGAAAATGTGTGTGCGCAAAGGGGCCAAACTACAAAGTAATCCATCAACAATTTCTTGTAAAATCCAAGCATATCTTTATTTCAGAAACACAACAGGTACATAATCAAGTTGGTGCTGCATTTAAGACCAACATTCTTGCAGGGTAAACAGGGTACAGATCTTGTATCACTTTCACTCTAAAGGAAACCTGTCACGTGAAAAATGGATGGGCTACCATTGCTGATCTCCCCTAATAAAAATGTTAGTTGTTTAACAGCCAGGCTGATGTAATTACTTTAACATTTTTTTAGTAACTGACCTAACAAAAGCATGCAGCCAGTAAGGCAGAATTCTTTATCTGTATTCTGGTTCCAGATATGGGAATCAGACAGCTTTAATACCACTGGATCAGCATAATGGCCAGGTAACTAGAATCCTCCTTTAAGTACTCTACTTAAAGTGTATGTAAGGCCTGGTTTACACTTGGCGATCCATGGCCATGCAGCGATTGTGTACGAAACTGTAAAGATCGTGGAGCGGTCACGAAACCATGCACAACCACTGAAACGCTTGCAGTGTCATTTATTTCTAATGGCACCCCAATTGCAGCTGGCAAATCATGTGGTTTTCCTCCGCAATCCCACGTGTGCAATCATGCACAATTGCAGTAGAAAGAAAGTGCCATGCTCGTTGCAGAAAAAGGTACATGTACCTTTTTTTCAGTGATTGCCGTGCAGATATAACCCCATTAAAATCACTGGGACTGCATGGCAAACCCTGTGCACGATCACGCAAGAACACGCACAACCGCGCGGTCCCAGGATTGCCTAAGTGTTAACCTGGCCTAAACCCTACATCCATTTTTTCTTCTTTTAGCATTATGTCCTACTGTATACAATTTTTTAATGAACTATTTTATATCTATAGTATATTTATTTATAAACTATTTTTTATAAATCTATTGAAAATTGTCTTACCTGGAGAGTTTGCCAGTATCCAACCTCCTATTGCAGATTGACTACATTAAGCTTGTGTCCTGCAACCAGCTGAAGTGCTGTTAGCCTGCTGCATGCCAGACTCATTCACCTTACCAACCATTCCACTGCCTCCACCTTGCCATACAAATAGAATTCAAAATATTAACAACCACTTGCAAAGCAATCTACAACCTCATCAAAAAGTCACCCAAACTATCCTTTCCACTCCACTCAAGACCTCCTGCTCTTTGGCTCCCTCATCACCTCATCCCATGCTCACCTCTGTAACTACTCCAATCCTCTGTTCAGTTATCTCCTACTCTGTCCTACTCTCCTACTTTAGGCAATCCTTGAAAACTCATCTAGTCAGGGAATCCTATCCTACCTCCATATAATAAGTGTACTTTTACTTCTTTCATAAGGTCATCCCTCACAATGAATGCCTTTTGTATCACTTGCCCCTCCTAGTAGATTGTATGCTGTCATGAGCAGGACACTCCTGTATTGACTTGTATTGTAACTACTGTCTCCCTTCATTTTGTTAAACAATGCACAAAATGTTGGCACTATATAAATCCTGTATTATAATAAAAATAATAATTTTTATGAAAGGTAGCCGTCATGTGTCATATACAGTAGAAAAAAAAACATGTCAGCACAAGCAATGGGAAAGCAGTAAATATCGTGTGTAACCTCTGTGTCTTAACAAAGCTTATTTGCTACCTCCACATATAATTGTACTGTGCTACTCATTAGAAATTCTTTTAGCATCATTACTAATCAGATCAAGAAACTTTCCTTCCTTTAAGCAATTCCGACAGTCTAGTCATTAAATATATATGCCACGTATATTGTTCTATACAATCACTATACTTGCAGGAAATTGATATGAATTAATGTTGAAAGCTAGAACGTACATGCCCAAATTTAGAATGCTGTTCTCCTACACAGACTCTCATACCGTGGTACTGGGCATCTGGGGAATCAAACAAAACTTCTATGTCTTGCATATAAAACAAGCCTCGAGGCTTCCTTTCAAATCATGCTCAGTATTACAAGAGACAAAACGAACAGTACTTGTTTTTTTCTCTTTTTGGAAATGTGTCGTTTTGTGGCAGATCTAATGATGTGAAATGAATGACAGCAAGTTTCTTTTTACATCTGGTATTTGAACTGTGCTATTTAAAGCTATACCCCCAAAACTTAAGAGCAATTTCAAATCTATCAATTTTATTCTACCATTTTAAATTGCCTGTTGTCTTTGCATGACCCTTGACCATTCATTTGGGTGTACAGTATCAAATCAAATTGAAAGGTTAGGAGACATGAAAGTAACTGTAGACCATCTATAGCTCACAAATAGGTGGTATCTGTTAAATAAAATGACACCAAAGCATGACCTACTTATCTGGATGGATAAATACTTATAAGAAAAAAAATGAATAAATGCATATAGATAACATAACATTGATATGCCATTGATATGCTCATTTAACTAATATCCTTTGACTAATATTGATGAGCAAACTCAGCAAAGTTAGGTTTGCTGGACATTTGCCACAGACTTGAAAAAAATCTGCTGAAACCAAACTTGGTGAAGTAGACTGCAATTTATAGCAGACAAATCTTTTAATTTTTTTCTCACCCTTTTCAAAGTCAGTTTACAAACTTTTGTTAAAAAATACATTGGTAGCTGGGCACATGGGGGAAGGGCTACATATCTGGAGGCCCCCTTATTCTAAAGGGGGCTTCCAGATTCTGATATGTCCCTCCAAAAGACCTTACTCCCTTGTGGAGGACAGGGTATGGGGATGAGGCACTTGACCCCATCAACATGGGGGAAAAATACCCTCCCAGGGGCATATAGCCTGGTGTGGTTCAGAAAAGGGGATGCCTGGTATACATTTTGATAGGGATCCTACATTGTTTTATTAAAGGGGCAGTATACTTTGTTTACAAAAATGTGTAATCCCTTTAAGAAAAAAGTGATGCCCAACAACCCAACAAACATGATGATGCTGCCCTTCTGCTACTCCCATCACAAATGACAGTTCCCTAGTCATGTTTAAATGTAAACAACAGCGTTGGCCAACCTAGGTGATGTCATTAATCAAATATTGTTAAGACAAGACCATGTTCAGTCAATTAAGTCACCCAGGAGCCTTGCTGGGTTGTTTACAGTTTGAAATAAGTAAGCAGGAATCTGTCAAATCTGTTTACTGAAAAACTTCCATATGCAGCAGCCAAAGGTTTGGGCTGGTGGGCAAACTGGCCAAATTTGGCCAATTGGTTTGCCTGTTTACAGAACTGCAGACATGTTGTTGGGTTTGTGTTGAACTCATGGTTTCATATTTTTATACTTGTATATATTATAAGTACATATTTGTAGATTTTCATACTAGTATCTATTTATGTCAGATATATGCAGTCAGCAAAGTAATTAAGCACATGTTGTAAATATAAATGAGAACAGTACCACACAATCACTATTGCAAAGGAATCCACTGACTTCCACAGACCTTATTAAAACATTAAAAACCACATAGTGGAGACTTTCATTGAATGTGGCTGATGACCAAATGCACCTGCCTACTGACATGCCCCATCTATTCCTCTCAGTTAGGGTAAAAGAAACATGTCACAGCACAGCATTGTTTTATTTCCCTTCAATACCCTTCTTGATTACTTTTGCCAGGACTGGCAAGCTATACATTCAAAATTGATTATTTTCTATTGGTAAGTATGGGTCACTGACTGAAGCTGGAAATAATATTATTCATGTTTTTAGTCACCCTGTTCATATAAACAATTTTTTTTTTGGCAGATCAGCGCAATGTGTCCCCATAGACTCAATAGGAAATCCTTGGAAATGCGCGACAATTATTTTGCACAATGTTTCCCATTTACATCAATATATCACAATCTGATCACAAAAACATACAACTCAATATACGCATGTAAAATGCATGCAAAACGTGCAAATAAATGCGTGTAATCCACACTGAAACGCTGCCCCTTAGGTGTGAATGAAGCCTTACAGTGTTTTGTGGAGAGAGTACCTATCCTTTCAAAGTCTTAATGCAGTGCACCGTATTACACGTAGATAAAAAGCTACTGATAACTTTCATTGACATTTGTTTTCTGTACATTTGGGGTTTGCATGTCT